TTTTAATTCCACACCGCCCTAGGCTCTGCACCTTACGAACGCCATGGCCTTGCTGGCACGCCCACCCCCTCCCCTAACCGCCCATCACCCCCATCCCTTCCCCCTCTTCCCCTCCTCTACCTTACGCCCATCCACGCCCTCCCTCCCCCTCCCCTCCTGCCAATGCTGATCCACCCCCCTCGCCTCCACCTCCGCTCCCACCTCCCCCCAATCCCTCCCTCTAACCAACGCCCATCGACCCTTCCCCTCCTCCCCCCATAATTCACCTCCCCTCCCCTCCCCTCCATCTTCCGTCGGGCCTTCACTCGTCGCTTCCAATTGCTGTGTCAGAGGCGCGATGTTCTTTGTCCCCCACCCGCCCCGCACCCCACCCCACCCACGAGTCTCCGCCAGGCCTGTTTGACCATGTGCTTTTGCAACGTTGCAGTCTTTGCAAACCCTTTTGTTTTCCTCTCCGGCAGTTTTCCGGCTTTTGTCTTTCTTGCTTTTGATTTAGATTTTTTTTTTTCGTTCTTCTCTTTTTTTCGTTTTTTTTTTTTTTTGACTTGTTGGTTGGTGGATTTTTTTTCCTGAGTTTGGTTTTTATTTTATTTTTTTTTTATTTGATTATTTTTTTTTTATTTGTCTTGGTTTTTTCTGTCTTTCTGTCTTCTCTCTCTTTCCTCTCTCTCTCTGTCTATCTACCCTGTCTATCTATCTATCTCTGTCTCTCTTTCTCCTTCCTTCCTTCCCCTTCTCCTTCTTTCCTCTCTCTCTTCTATGTTCATTTGCTATTGTATCTTTTTCTTTTCTTGCTCTTTCCCCTCCTTTCTTCACCCACTCTCTCACCCTTTCCCATGCTCCCGTTTCTCGACATTCCACCATCCTACCTTTTTTTCCTCTCTTCCCCCCCCCCCCTCTCCAAAATTTCCTCTCCACTCGCCCTTTCCTCTTCCTTCTATCTTCTCTTCTCTCGCACTTTCTTCTCCCCTCTACTTTCTTTTATTTTCCTCTCTGCTGTTCCCATCCTCTCCATCTCTCCATACCCTGTCTCTCCTTTCTCTCCTCTCCCTTCTCCCTCTCCCATATTTGTATCCTTTCCTCTCCCGTTTCTCCTCTGTCTCTTCCTTCCTCGCTCCCCCCTTCCTCTCTCTCCTCTGCTTTCTCTCTTCTCTCCGTCTCTCCTTTCCCTCCTCTTTGCTCTCCTCTTCTTCGTCTCCCTCTCCTCTTCCTCTTCTTCCCGTCTCTCTTCCCTTCTCCCCTCTTCCTCTTCCTCTTCTTCCTCCGTCTTTCCCTCTCCCCCTCTCCTCTCCCTCTCCTTTTCTCATCCCTCTTCCTTCTCTCTCCTCTCCTCTTCCTCTTCCTCTTCTTCCACTTCTTCCTCTCCTCTCTCTCTTCTTCCTCCTCTCCTCTCCCTTCTTCTCTCCCCTCTTCCCCCCTCTCCTCTCTTCCTCTTCTCTTTCCCTCTCTCCTCTCCTCCTCTTCTTCACTTCTTCCTTTTCCTCTTCTCTTCCTCCTCACAGAGCTTGTGCTTGGTCCGTGCTCGAGTGTGGACACGGAGGAGCTCGCCATTGCCAGCGAGGGAAATGTCTATTTTTTTCTCGCTTCCTTGTTTTTGAATTTGCTCGATTTTTTTCCTCACTTTTTTATCTGTCTGTCTGTTTCTCTGTTTTCTCTTTCTCTCTCTGTTCTCTTTCTATGTCTGTTTCTCTGTCTCTCTTTCTATGTGAGATGAGGAGAGAGAGAGAGAGAGAGAGAGAGAGAGAGAGAGAGAGAGAGGAGAGAGAGAGAGAGAGAGAGAGAGAGAGAGAGAGAGAAGGGAAGGGAAAGGAAGGATAGAGAGAAAAGAATAGGAGCAAGATCACGCACACACACACACACACACTCACAGGCAGGCAGTCAGTCAATCAGAGTGTCTGACAGACATCCACACAGACACACACACACACATCCACATCCACACATCCACACAGACAGACAGACAGAAAGCACGAAGCGGTGACAGTGGCAGTGACGGAGCGCGCGCGAGCGAGAGAGGAAATGGGAACGCAGGAAATGGGAACGCAGGAAATGGGAACGCAGGAAATGGGAACGCAGGAAATGGGAACGCAGGAAATGGGAACGCAGGAAATGGGAACGCAGGAAATGGGAACGCAGGAAATGGGAACGCAGGAAAAGCAGGAAATGGGAACGCAGAAAATGGGAACGCAGGAAATGGGACGCAGGAATGGGAAATGGGAACGCAGGAAATGGAAAGGAAATGGGAAACGCAGGAAATGGGAACGCATGGGAACGCAGCAGCGCAGGAAATGGGAACGCAGGAAATGGGAACGCAGGAGCAGCATTGCTCTCTCGCGTCTGAGAAAATGACGAGGCGATGAGTAATATCCTGAGGGAAACAACGAGCGCGTTTGGGGGGCTCACGGTCGATCCGAGGTGGGTTGGGGTGGGTGGGGTGGATGGTGGGTGGGTGGGTTTGGTAGATAGGTGGGTGGGATGGGTGGGTTTGGTAGATGGGGTGGGTGGGTGGTGGGGTGGATGGGTGGGTTTTGGTAGATGGATGATGGTGAGGTGGGTGGGCGGGATGGGTGGGTGGGTTTGGTTAGGTGGGTGGGTGGGATGGATGGGATATGCGGGTAGATGGGGTGGGCGGGATAGATTGGTGTGCGAGGAGAGGATGGAGTGGCTTCAAGGTGGGCAAGAGAGCGAGTGGGCGGGCAGGAAGCTTCATTAGCTGGCTTGCCTGTCGGGGGGTGGGGTGGGGTGGCGTGATGCATAAAGTTTAAGGGAGATGATTTGGTGGGTTGGTTGGTGGGCGGGATAGAAGTGACGCGACTCTGTGGGCGGGCGTCCGGGCGGGATATGTACATCAAATTGAGCGTTTGAACGAGTGGGCGTGATGAACAACTCGTATCATTAAAACCAAAAGCCATTCACGTGCGGGCGTGCGATTGAACATAAATCGAATTAAAACACAGACAACTTCAGCGGGCGTGCATGATGATGGGCGTGCGACCTCGTATCCTGACAATGCTCACGAGTCCATCCGTGCGGTCGTGGGCGGGCGGGGCGGGCGTGCTCTCCGCTTAGTCCCGCCAAATGTCTTCGCAATCAGAATTCCGCCCAAGATTCGCTAATGGAAGGCAAACAGAGGGCGGGAGATTTTTGCGGGCGGCCGAATTGCTTCTCATATTATTCACAAGACGGCTGATGAAAGGGGGGGTGGGCGGGGTTGGTGGGTTTGGAAGTAGGTGGGCGGGGGGTGGGTTTGGATGTGGGTGTGGTGGGGTAGGAGTGGGCGGGGGTTGGTGGGTTTGGATGTGGGTGTGGAGGGGATGGTGGGTTTGGATGTGGGTGAGGAGTGGGTTAAGGGGATAGGGAGTGGGCGGGGGTGGGTTGGATGTTGGAAGTGGGCGGGGGTGGTGGGTGGAAGTGGGCGGGGGGTGGTGGGTTTGGAAGTGGGCGGGGGTGGGTGGTTGGATGGGTGGGAGGGGGGTTGGATGTGGGTGGGAGGGGGGGTGTGGGGGAGGGGGGGTTGGATGTGGATGGGAGGGGGGGTTGTGTGGGTGGGAGGGGTTAGGGGATAGGGAGTGGGCGTGGGATGGGTTGGATGTTGGTGGGCGGGGTAGGGAGTGAGGTGGATGGGGACGGGGTGATGTTGGAGAGGTTAGGGGGTGGGTGGATGGGTGGAGGGGGAAGAGAGTGGGGATGAGTGGATGGGTGGGTGGCTGGAAGGGTTACGGAGTGGGTGGGTGGGTAGATAGGTAGATGATTGGAGGATGGATTACGGAGAGGAGAGGTGGGCGCAGCGAAAGTGGGGGAGATGTGGAAGTGGGTGGATGGGCGGATGGGTGGGTGGGTGGGTTGGTAAGTGTATGGAAGTAGGTTATTGGGGATCGGAAGTGGGTGGGTGGGTTTGAGGATTAGTTTAGTGGGCGGGGTGGCTATAATGAACGGGGGAGGTGGTGAAATGGGGGGATAGAAGAGGAAGGAGGGAGGAGAGAGAGAAGAGAGAGAGAGAGAAGAGAAGAGACAGCTAAAGAAAGTGACAAGAAAGAGAGAGAGAGAGAAAACAGACAGAGACAGAGAGAGCAGCAAACAAGAGAAAAGTAGACTAAGGTACGACGGTAGATAAAAACAAAACAAAAACAAAAAAAACATGTTGAGAGTGGAACAAAAAAGCCCGGCGGGGACGGAGGAGGAGGAGGAGGAGGAGGAGGAGGAGGAGGAGGAGGAGGAGGGGAGGAGGAGAGGAGGAGGAGAGAGAAGAAAGAAGAAGAAGAAGAAGAAGAAGAGAAGAAGAAGAAGAAGAAGAAGAAGAAGAAGATGGAGGAGGAGGACAGGGGAGGAGGAGGAGGAGAGGAGGAAAGGAGGGAGGAGGGGGGAGGAGGAGAAGGAGGAGGAGGAGGGGGAGGAGGGGGGCGAAGGGGTAGTCCTTTTACAGCAGTCACAGGATTCATTTGAGGAAGAGAAAGCGGGTTCGGCATTATCGGAGAGGAATGTTTAATTAGGGGTATTTACAAACACGCACACACGTTCACATCGTCATGCATGTGTACACGGACACGTACAAACAGTATGGAGAGAAGGAACGGGAGGGAGGGAGGGAGGGAAGAGGGAGAGGGGAGAGAGAGAGGGAGAAGGGAGGGAGGGGAGGGAGAAGGGAGAGGAGAGGGAGAAAGGAGAGGGAAGGGAGGAGAGAGAGGAGGGACGGGATGGAGTGGTAGAAGGAGGGATGGATGGAAGGGAGAGAGAGAGAGTGAGAAGGAGGGAGGGAGGGAGAGGGAGAGAGGGAGGGAGACAGAGAAAAGAGAGAGAGAAAGTAGAAAGAGAGAGAGAGAGGTAGAGACAGAGACAGACAGATAGACAGACAAATAGATAAACATACAGACGCAAACAAGCAGAAAATCATAAACCTTAAAGACCCAAAAATCGACAACAATGGAACTCAAAAGTAAGTCTCAAAGCCGGATACAAGGAAGGAAAACTTGGTTATTCTCTTTTCCTCCTCTTCTTCTTCTTCTTTTTCTATCTTTCCTCTTTCTTCTTCTTTTTTTGGGGGTGATATTCGACAGGCTTGTCCACTAGACGTCGAGAGTTTCACTTATTTCGACCTATTCGTTGCGCGGACTTTGCGAAATCAACATTGTTGTGAATCTTGCCAAGTGGATTGCAATTACTCTTGGTTCGCGATTCTTGTCATGGAAGAAGGTGGAGGGAGGAGGGGGGTGGAGAGGGAGGAGGGCGAGGGGAGGAGGAAGAAGGGGGGAGGGGGAAGAGGGGGAGGAGGGGAGGGGGAAGGAAAGCTCTTTGCTTTTTTCTTATCTCATTTTCATTTCCCACTTTCCTCTCATTTTCCTCTACCTCCCCCTTCTTCTCACCCTCTCTCTTTTCCCCTTTCTTTCACCCTCTCTCTCCCCTCTCCCCATACTTCACCTATCCCCCGCCCCCCGTTTCTCACATCTCTCCCTTCCAAACTTCCTCTCCTCTCCCTCCTCCCCTCTCCCTCGTAAACTCCACACTCTCCCTCCTCTCCCTCTTCCCCCTTCGCACTTCCCTTCCTCTCCTTCCCCTATCCCCTTCCCCCCCCCCTTCCCCCTTCCCTTCCCCTCCCCCTCCCCCGCCTCCCCTCCTCTCCCCTCCTTCTCCCTCCCTCTCCCTCTCCCTCTACCTCTCCCCGCTTCCCCTCCTCCGCCCCTCCTCTTCCCCTCCTCGCCCCCCCCGAACCCCACTGGCTTTGGCAGATGAGAATGTTGACCTAAAACTTTTGCGTTTGCTCGCTAATTGCTACAACTCGGTTTTCCCTATCAAGTGGAGACGAGGCTGTGAAGCTGTCTGGGTGCGTTTACCTTGTGCAACGCGTGTCCTGGAGTGTGGGGGGAGGGAGGAGGGAGGAGAGGCTGGGAGGGTGGGAAGGGTGGGTGCGCGTGGGTGGGTGGGTGTGGTTGTGAGGGAAAAGAATGGGTGGGGGAAGGAGGGAAAGAGGAAGGGGGGAGGAAGGAAGAGAAAGGAAGGAGGAGTAGGGAGGGTTGGTTAGAGAGAGAGGGAACGGAGGGGGGAGGGAAGGGAAGAAGGGAAAGAGAGGTAAAAATGTGAGGAAAAGAAGGAAGGAGGGAGTAGGGATGAGAGAAAGGGGTGGGGATAGGTGAGGGAGGGAGAGAAGAAAGGAAGAAGGGAAAAGTGGATGAGGGAATAAGTAAAAGTATGAGGAAGGGAAAAGATTGGACAAGGGAGCGAAGGATGGATAAAGATAAAAGGATATTTGAATGAAAGAGAAAGGGAGAAGAGAAAAAAAATGAAAGTTTCCAAAGTCTCTATATCTTAATACACACACATATACGCTTGTGATATGCACGTTGTATGTATTGCGTGCGAGCGTGTGTGCGCGTGGGGTCCCGTGCGATGGCATCTCGCTAAGACGCTTGGCAGATTTTATCGCTCTTTCGGTCCTTACGCTTTTGGGCGCATGGGCGTTTCGTGTCGTGGTTTTTAATGGGAATGATGGCAAGGGGGGGGCCGGGCGAGGGGCGGGGGGGCGGGGGGGGGACAGGGGTGTCTTGTTGTTGGCTTTTTTCGTCTTCGTGGGGTTTGTTTTTTGTTGTTTTTTGCTTTGGTTTTTTGTTGAGTTATTTTTTCTTGAGGATTCCTTTAAACTAGTGTTTGTGTTGGTTGTCTCTCGTTTCTTTTCTCTCTCTCTCTTCTCTCTCCTCTTCTCTCTTTCTCTTTTCTTCTCCTCTTTCTCTCTTTCCTCTCTCCTCTTTCTCCTCTCTCTTTCTCTTCTCTCTCTCTCCGATCCTCCTTCTTCTCCTCTTCTCTTCCTCTCTCTCCTCTCTCTCTCTCTCCTTCGCTCTCTCCTTCCCTCCCTCCTTCCTCCTCTCCCTGCTCTCGCTCACTCTCTCCTCCACTTCCTCGTCGCATTCGACCTCTCTCCCTCTCATCTCTCCTCTCCATAGCCTCTCCTGCTCTCTCTCTCTCTCTCTCCTCTCTCTCACCCATCCCTCTTAATTCTCCTCACCACCCTCCCCCACCCATCGCTACCTTCTCCTCTCTCCCCCCTCTCTCTCCCTCTCCTCCCTCCTTCCCTCACCCATCCTCTCCCTTCTTTCCCTCCCTAACCTCATCCCTTGGCCGTTCCTCCTTCCCCTCCTCCCTCCCTCCCTCCCCCTTTTTCCCCCACACGCCTCACGTCTGCAACTTCCCCAGATTCGCGTTGGTGGTCTGGCTTCCCCGGGTTTGGAACTAAGTTACCCTAGCGGAGTCCCTGGGAAAAGATCAGCGCTTGTGCTTACACGTGGTATGGCGTGTGTGCGGTGTGAGGGAGGGGATGAGGGAGGGAGGGAGGGAGTGAGGGATGCGGGAGAGGAAGGGAGGGAGAGGAGAGGGGAGGGAAAGGGTGGGAGGGAGGGAGGGAGAGGGAAGGTGGGAGGGGAGGGAAAGAGAGAGAGAAAGACGGCGAGGGATGGGCAGGAAGATAAAGAGAGCAGAGAGAGTATGAACGAGATCTATGTGTGTGTTTCACTTTGCATGTACATTCCACTGCGTCGCTGTGTGTGTCGATGTGGTGGGGTCAGGGCACCGAGATCCCCGTCCATCTTGCTCTTTCCTTCTCCCTTCTCTCTCCTTATCTTGCCTTACCCATTGCTCTCCATCCCTCCTTCCCCTCCCCTTCCCTCTGTGTACTACCTCTTCCCTATCTTCTATCTATCTTCTCTCATCTGTTTCCCTTTCTTGTTTTACCTCACTCTCTCCCCTCAGAGTCCCTCTATTCCACCTTCCTCCCCTTCTCTCTGCCCGTATCTCCCTCATTCTGTGGTTCCCTCCTCCCTACACTCCTCTTCTCTCATCGTTTATTTCTAATATCTTATTTCCCTTTATTATACCCCTCTTCGTTCTCCCCCTCTCCTCCTTCCTCCTCTCATCTCTCTCTCTACCTCTCCCTACTCTTTCCCTCTCTCATCTCTCTCTACCCTATATCCTCATCGTTTTACTTCCCTTCCCCCTTCTCTCCGTCCCTCTCTTTCTCTTCTTCCACCTTCCTCCCTTCTCTCTCTAACCCGATCCCTCCTCGTTCTCCCTCCCTCTCTTCCAATTTCTCTCGCCTTCCCCTTTTCCTCCCTCTTTCTCCCTTCTCTCCCTTCTCTCCTCCTTCCTCCCTCTCTTCCTCCTCTTCCTCTCTTCCTTCTCTCCGTCCCCTTCCTCCCCTCTCCCTTTTTTTCCCGTCCCCTGCCCTCTCTCCCCTTCCTCCCTTCTCCCTGCCTTCTCTCCCCTCTCTCCCTCCCCTCTTTTTCCTAAGGGTACTGACCCCGGGTGCAACAGGCGGGGGATTCGGGGTCGCGCTCCAATTTTGTGTTGGTGTGGATCGAGGAAGAGGTTGTGGTGGTATCCTGGTACGCTCTTCTCCTCTTCTTCCTGGTTCTCTCTTTCCTCGCGCTTTCTCTCGTTCGTTGTTTATCTTTCTCGCTTGTCTGCGGTCTTCATTTTGGGGTGGGTGGTCTTGTTTTTTATCTCTTTTCTTTCTCTTTCTTTTTTTTTCTCTCTTTCTTTCTTTTTTCTCTTCTCTCTCTTTCTCTTCTCTTCTCTTTCTCTCTTCTCTCTCTCCTCTCTCTCTCTCTCTCTCTCTCTCTCTCTCTCTCTCTCTCTCTCTCTCCTCTCCTCTCTCTCTCTCTCTCTCTCTCTCTCTTTCTCTCTTTTCTCTTTCTTTCTCTTTCTCTTTCTCTTTCTCTTTCTCTTCTTTCTCTTTCTCTCTCTCTCTCTCTCTCTCTCTCTCTCTCTCTCTCTCTCTCTCTCTCTCTCTCTCCTCTCTCTCTCTCTCTCTCTCTCTCTCTCTCCTCTCTTACTCTCCTTATTCCTATTCTCTTTCTCTCCTTTCCAATCCCTCTGTTAACCTCTCGTTCTCTCTCTATATATACATCTTCCTTTCCCTCTCTCTTTCGCTCTCCCGTCTCCCTCCTCCATTCTCCTCACTCTATACGCCTCTCTCCCCTCACCCTGTCCCTTCCTTCTCTCACCTCTCCATCCCCCTCGCCTTCCCTCTGCCGTTCACCCGCTTCCCTCCCAACACCCCCCCCCCCCCCTTCCCCCCACCTCCTTCTAGACGCAGTAGAAGTTCGCTTTCTCTATCTCTCTTATCCTATCTTTTCGTCTTATCTTATCGCGAGCTTTAAAGAACGTCGAAGCCGCGGCGATAGAGCGAGCGAGCGGAAGGCCGCGCGGCAGTCATCTTGTCCGTCTTGTTTACGCCGCTTCGAACGTGTCCGGTTGTCGGCGCGAACGTGTGTGTGTGTTTTTTTTTTTTTTTTTTTTCTCTCTCGCTCTTTCTCGTTTTATTTTGTTTTATTTTGTGCGAAGGAGGTACGCTCTTCGATTTATATATTTTTTTAGGTGAGTTCGGAGTTTTTTTTTTTTTTTTTTTTTTTTTTTTTTTGAGATACATATACGGTACGGTTCGGTTCGGAGACTGGACGTTCGGATGAAGACGGTCTTCTGTTTTTATTTAAGGAGAGGTACGTTCAGATCCGATCGACTGGTGATTCCTCAGCTGTTTTCGTTGGTGTGATTTAGTTTGAGTTTGTTTGGGAGGGGAGGGAGAGAAGGGAGGAAGGGGAGAGAAGGGAGAGACGGGAGAAAGGGGAGAGAAGGGAGAAAAGGTGAGAAAGAGGAGGAAAGAAGGGAGAAAGGAAGACAGAGAAGGGAGGAAGGGGAGGGAGAGGAAGGAGAAAGGGGTAGAACAGAAGGGAGAGAAGGGGGAAGGTGAGAGTAGGGAGAAAAGGAGAGATATCGGGTAGAGAGAGAGAAGAGAGAGAGAGGAAAGGGAGGGAGAGAAAGGAGAAAAGGGAGAAAGAGGAGAGATATCGGGTAGAGAGAGAAAGGAGAAAGAGGAGGAAAAGAAGGGAGAAAAGGGAGAGATACCGGGTAGAGAGAGAAAGGAGAGAAGGGGAGAGAGAGGAGAGAGCTTCCGACGTACGACAGAGCCTGAGAGATTTTGCGATGAAAGAGTTGTACATGTAACAGGCGGTAATCCGGTAAGTGATTGAGTTACGGGTATAATGGAAACATAAATCGATTAAGACGAGGTAAGGGTTTTGTTTGTTTTCCGGCGATACGAGCTTGTGTTGAGTTGGAAGAAGAAGGAAAAAAAAACGAAGGCATTTTGGTGGGGCGTTGGTATGGGTATGAGTATTTTAAAGGTAAACAGTAAAAAGAATGAAAAAGAGATAATAACAAAGATATGTTATGAGTGTCTTTACTAGAGTGAGAGTGATGTGTGTGAATGAGTAAATAGGTAAATAAGAGAGAGAGAGAGAGAGAGAGAGAGAGAGAGAGAGAGAGAGAGTGAGAGTGAGAGTGAGAAAGAGTGTGCGTATATGTGTGTGTATTTGTGATTTTTTCCCCTTAATTATTATTATTCCGGATGTCAGCAAAGATGTGTGTGCAGGCCTGGAGGGGAAGAGGGAGGGAGGGAGGGAGGGAGGGAAGGCGGATGGGTGTCAACACGTCCCATCCTATGAATAAATTATCTGGTGGGTGATAAAAGACAAAGTTTACCAGGTGTGCGCAGGAGAAGGGGGAATGGGCGGGGAAGAGGAAGATGAAAGCATTTCGGAGAGAAGCAGGAAGAGGAAGGGAGGACTAAGAGAGGGACGAGGCAGCTGTGCGTAAATAATTTTGTATGTGTGTGCGTATTTGTGTGTGTCTGTGACTATGTCTGTTTGGGATGAATGATAAAGCGAGTGTTGCTGACGCCTCTCACGCTGACGGGTGCCAGGCGGTGCCGCTGTGCTGACGGCGTCCTCAAGTGGCGCCTGCCCGTGATTGCCTCTCCGTGTTGTTCTTGAGGCGGTGCTGACGCTGGCTGGCTGACACTTGAGGTCGGAACCCGCGTTGTTTTCGGTCGTGAGTGGGAAATGGTGGTAGGTTAATGGGGGGGGGGAGAGTGCGGTGCGTTTGTGCTAATGAGTTGTGTGTTGTGTGTTCTGACGTGTTCTAACGTGTTCTGGTGTGTCCTAACGTGTTCTGACGTGTTCTCTTTTTGTCGTTTCAGGTGGACTAGCATGGTGAAGGGCACGACAAGGGTGGCGTCCCCGGCAAGATGACCCAGACGATACACTCCCACCCTCACCCACAGGGACGTCCACCCCCGCCCCTGCTCCAGCCCCGCCCACAGCCCAGTGTAGTAAGGAGGACGCGTATCGAGTGGGCGTGGCGACATGTAGTGTTGTGGGCGTTGGTGGCCGCGGTGTGGTGCTGTGGGCGCGGTGCGGGGGGCAGCAGCGGGGACAGCGTGCGCTTCTCCCGCCCACAGTACAACGCCAGCGTGCCCGAGAATGCCCTGGGCAACACGCCCGTGGTGAGCGACGCGATGATGGGCGTGCGCATCACCGACCCCTCGCTCAGGATCCGCTTCCGCATCACGGAGGGCGACAGCCAGAACTTCTTCCGCGCCGCCGCGCGCGTCGTCGGCGACTTCTGCTTCCTGGAGCTGAGCGTGCGCACCGGCAACCAGCGCGTGCTCAACCGGGAGTCCAATGACCTGTACAAGCTCAAGGTGAAGGCGCAGCACCGGCGCCACGACCGCACCAAGGAGGACCTGCCCGGCGCCGTCACCGAGGTGTGGGTCACCATCACGGACCTCAACGACCTGTCGCCCTTCTTCCTGATGGAGGAGTACCGCGTGCGCCTCAGCGAGGACACGCCCCTCCACGCGTCCGTGGCGCGCGTCAAGGCCGAGGACCCCGACGCGGGCCTCAACGGCCAGATCTACTACAGCTTCAAGGAGGACACGCCCGTGTTCGCCATCCACCCCACGTCGGGCGTCGTCACGCTCACGCGGCCGCTGCGCTTCCTGGAGCAGGCCAAGTACCAGCTGACGGTGCAGGCGCAGGACCGCGGGCTGCGCCAGCGCGGCGGCTGGCCCGCGCTGGCCCGCCTCTTCGTCAACGTGACGGAGGAGAACGTGTACGACCCCGAGATCCTGGTGACGAAGCTGCCCGAGGCCATGTCGCGCGCGCACCTGTCCGTGGTGGCCATCATCAACGTGGTGGACCAGGACCGCGGCCCGAGCGGCGAGGTGCGCTCGCTGGAGATCGTGGAGGGCGACCCCGACCGCGTGTTCCGCGTCCTGCCCAGCTCGGGCGGCAACGAGTTCAACCTGGCGGCGCTCGACACCATCGACTGGAGCGACACGCCCCTCGGCTTCAACCTCACGCTCAAGGCCACCGACGGCGGCACGCGCCCGCGCTTCAGCTACAAGGTGGTGCGCGTGGCGGCGCCGCCCACGCCCGAGGAGGAGGCCGCCTTCACGCAGGAGGTGTACGAGGCGGAGGTGAGCGAGGTGGCGCCGCTGGGCACGCGCGTGCTGCAGGTGGGCGCGTGGCTGCCCGGGGCGCAGCGCCGCGTCAAGTTCGACATCGTGGCGGGCAACAAGGGCGGCCAGTTCCACATCGACCCGACGTCGGGCGTGATCACCACCACGGCGCTGCTCGACGCCGAGACGCGCGACGCCTACACGCTGACGGTGGCGGCCACGACGCCGTCGCAGCTGACGTCGCAGCGCCAGGCGGCCGCCAAGGTCATCGTGCGCGTGAGGGACGCCAACGACAACACGCCCATGATCGTGGCGCCGCAGGGCGTGGTGCGCGTGGAGGAGCACCAGCCCACCGGCACGTGGGTGACCAAGGTGCGCGCGCAGGACTACGACTCGGGCGAGAACGGCTACGTGTCGTACAGCCTGGCCAACGCGAACGACGTGCCCTTCTCCGTGGACCACTTCACGGGCGAGGTGAGCACCACGCGCGCCCTCGACTTCGAGACGGAGCGGCGCACGTGGCGCCTGCGCGTGCGCGCGTCCGACTGGGGCTCGCCGTACCGCCGCCAGAGCGAGAAGATCATCACGGTGCACGTGGAGGACGTCAACGACAACCGGCCGCAGTTCGAGCGCGTGGCGTGCACCGGCTTCATCGACCGCCTCACGCCGCTCGGCTCCGAGGTCTTCACGCTGTCGGCCGTCGACTTCGACCAGGGCAACATCATCAGCTACCGCATCGTGGGCGGCAACGACGACCGCTGCTTCTCGCTCGACTCCACCTCGGGCGTGCTCACCCTCACGTGCGACCTGCAGGACCTGCTCACGCCCGAGCGCATCGTCAACGTCACGGCCACGGACGGCCAGCACTTCGCCGACACGCTGCCGCTGCGCTTCCAGCTGGTCAAGCAGCAGAACCACGTGGGCGGCTCGTGGGCGGAGCTGGAGTGCCGCGAGATGGGCGTGGCGCAGCGCCTGGCCGAGCAGCTGGCCCGCGCCGCCAAGAACAACCTGAAGGACGACTCGCTGCTGCTGCTGACGCCGCCGCCGCCCGTGGTCAACGCCCACGCGCCCGAGCTGCGCAACATGCCGCTGGAGGTGCGCGTGCGCGAGAACAGCGAGCCGGGCACCGTGGTGTTCAAGGTGGACGCCGAGGACGAGGACGTGGGCTACCCGGGCCACCTGGTCTACGCCATCGTGGAGGGCAACCAGGAGGCCGTCTTCAGCATGGACATGGCCACGGGCGAGCTGACCGTCGCGGGGCTGCTGGACCGCGAGCGGGTGCCGCGCTACGCCCTCAACCTCACGGTGTCCGACCTGGGCGACCCGCGGCGCACCGCCTCGCGCCTCGTCACCATCACGCTGGTCGACGAGAACGACAACGCGCCGCAGTTCGACAAGCCCGCCTACAGCTTCTTCCTGCCGGAGAACGTGGCCAACGGCACCAGCGTGTACGAGCTGCGCGCGCACGACCCGGACGAGGGCAGCAACGGCGTGGTGACCTACAGCCTGGCCACGGACACCAAGGACTTCCGGCTGGACCCCGTGACGGGCCGCCTGAGCGTGGCCTGGCCGCTCGACCACGAGACGCACGACGTCTACGAGCTGCGCGTCGTGGCCACGGACGGCGGCGCGCGCTCCGCCCACGCCTACGTCACGGTGCAGGTGGCCAACATCAACGACTGCCCGCCCGTGTTCCCCAGCGACAAGAACACCGCCATCAGGATACCCGAGGACCTGCCTCTGGGCGCCCTCGTCACCCTGGTGGCCGCCCACGACCCGGACTCGCCCAAGCTGCGCTACTCGCTGGTGGGCGGCCACGAGGGCGTCTTCAGGATCGACGAGGACACCGCCGCCCTGCGCCTCGCCGCCCCCCTCAACTACGAGATGCGCCCCGCCTACAACATCACCGTCAGGGCCACGGACGACGGCACGCCCCCGCTCGCCGCCATCACCTACGTCATCGTCCAGGTGAGGGACTCTTTCTTTCTGTTTTATTTTATTTTATTTCATTTAGTTATCTTTTTATTTTCTATTTTGTCTTATTTACTTTCACCTAGTTATCCACCTATTTATTATTCCTTTCATTCATTTTTTTTTATTTCACTTAGTCATCCACCTATTTATCATTCCTTTCATTCATTTCTTTCATCTATTTTATTTTTTATTTCATTTAGTTATCCATATTTTATCATTCTTTCATTCATTTCTTTTATCTATTTTATTTTATTTTATTGTCTTACACTTAGTCATCCACCTATTTATCATTCCTTTCTTTTATCTATTTTATTTTTTTTTTTTTTCACTGTAACGTAATATTCACAGTCCCCGTCTCTCTTATCGTCTGTCGTAAAATTGTTCGTCTTGTTTTCGCTATTTTTATACTTTTTTTTCTGTCCACGTGTTTTATCTTCTCGTCTTTCTTTGGATATCACAATCGCTTATCGCTGTTATCAGCTGTAATGTCTTGTTATCAGCTAATTATGATTCAATGTACATCATAGTCGGTCTTATCTCTTGTTACGTAATATTTTCATTCATAACTCGGAGATAAGAACAGTAGAATGGATTATGTAAATTTAAAATAAAAAGTTTATTCCGTGTTTCACATAAGTATGGCATAAACTATCATTATTATTATTATTATTATTATTATTATTATTATTATTATTATTATTATTATTATTATTATTATTATTATTATTATTATTATTTAATTCTATTTTGTAAATTTCGGGAGAACTACTTGTCATTATCATTTCTCTAAATCAAAAATCTTATCATTATCAATCAACCGATATTGCAGTCATTATCAGCGCTAGCTTTTAATTAGTGACTGGTACAGATTGTTCCTGCTTTTATTTGTTTCTGATAAACACGTGTTATCGATATTTTTATCTTCAATTAACATTTTATTTTATTGAAGCTCTAATTTTTCTTTCTTTCCTTTTCCTGATATGGTATCGGTGTTGTCATTTTAAAGAGATTTATTTTATTCGTTTTATTTTTTCTTTCTTTGTCTTTCTTTTTCCGCTTCTCTTTTCGGTCTTCTGTCTTCTCTTCTCTTGTCACTTACCCTTTTTTCTGTTTTTCTCTCTTTCTTTTCTCATTTTCTCTTTTCCCCTCTCTCTCTCTCTCTTCTCTCTCTTCTCTCTCTCTCTCTCTCTCTCTCTCTCTCTCTCTCTCTCTCTCTCTCTCTCTCTCTCTCTCTCTCTCTCTCTCTCCTCTCTCTCTCTCTCTCTCTCACTCACTCACTCACTCACTCACTCACTCACTCCTATCTTCTCCTTCTCCCTCTCCTTCTTAATCACCCCCTTTTCCCCCCCCTCCACCTCTCAATAAATAATCTCCATAAAATATCTCCATATCTCCATAATAAGAAACAATCATCTCAGTTTTAAAAAATAAAAATGGTTGCACTATCCCCCCCCTTCCAACCCCTCATCTCGTTAAGAAAACTCATCTCTCCAACCCCCTCATCTCAAAAGAATCATCTCACCTACTTCGTCATCTCGTTAAGAAAAAAATCTCACGAATCCCCCTCTTCTAAAAAAAAAAAAAAAAAAATAATAATAATTGATAATAATGATAATGATAATAATAATAAAGATAATGATAATGATAATGATAATGACAATGATAATGAAATAATAATGATAAAATAATAATAATAATAATATAATATAATAATGATAATGATATGATGATGATGATGATGATGATATTTAATGATAATGATACTAAACTCATCTCTCCAACCCCCTCATCCCCTCCCAGGTGGTGGACGTGGACGAGAACGTGCACGCGCCAGTCTTCGGCCAGGACGTGGTGGAGGCGGTCGTGCTGGAGTCGTCCCCCCCCACACGCTCGTCACGTCCGTCCCCCCTCGACGCCGACCTCAACCCCGCCGACGGAGCTGTGACGTACTCGCTGGTCGGGCCCGAGGGACGGGGGGTGTTCTATATCGATCAGAAGGGTGAGTGTTTGTTTGTTTGTGTTTTGGGGGGGTTTGTGTTTTTGGGTTTTGGGGGTGGGTGTGGGGGGGATGGGGTGGGTGGTTGGGGGGGGGGAGGTTTGGGGGTAGGGGGTGGGGTTGTGTGTGGTGTGTTTGTGTCTGTCTGTCTGTCTGTCTGTCTGTCCATGTCTGTCTGTCTGTGTGTCGTACTTGTATGTGTATCTGTGTTTCATAATTCTTCGTGTGAATATCTCCCTCTATTTTAGGCAGCATTCCTCTTTTTTATCAAGAGAGTCCCAGATATTTTTTTTCTCTCCTCCTATAACCCTCTCTTCTAACCCTTTTTTTTTTTTTTTTTTTTTTTTAACACTTAATAAATTTTTCTAATGTGTCGAATTTACACGGGTGTTTCAGAACGAGGGTCCGCTTGGGATCCTAGTCGTGATAAGCAAGGGCACAAAAATAACCTGTTTTAATTGCTGTTTTTTTTTTCTTATTCTTCTTCTTTTTCTTTCTTTCCTTCGTTTTTTTTAGTTTTTTTTATTTTCTTTTTTTTTTTTTTTTTTTTTTCTGTCTTTTTTCTTTTTGGGTTTATTTTTAAACGTCTTTTTTTTTTTCTTTGGAATTAATTGTTCTTTGAAGTGTGTCTGTTTTTTTGTTTTTTTTTTTGTTTTTTATCTAGAGGGATATGTTTTTTTTTAAAGGTTTACTTTTTCTGCGTTCGTGTTGCAGAATGTTATAGCGTTTTGTCTTTGTTCAATCGTTTTTTTTTAGAATTGCATATGTGTGTCTTATCATCTTCGTCATCATCGTTATGGGTTCATCGTTATCATCGTCATCACAATTATCATTATCTTTATCATCATCATAATTATCAGCGCAAATCATCACCACCAACATCACCCACCATCATCACCACCACCAACACAACACAACAAACAACAATCAACACACAAATCACAACATCACCCACACAACCACACAATCCATCATTCACCACCATCACACAACACCACCACAACATCACCAACCAAACACTACAACACCACCACAACCACTACACCATCACAGCCACCACACGAACCAACATCACCCAACAAA